ATATTAAAATTGGAATTGGCACTCTGGTTGTTCCTCAGTTCCTTGTCAGTGGAATTAAGAGTGGATTTTGTCTCCCTTATTTCATTAATATGCTGCCCAGTAGCCAAAGCTCTCAGCATTCCTCAAAAAACTACAAAGCTAATTCTGTATTAGTACCCACCAGGTATTTCTGCTGCAGAGGATCTTTACTTTTCAGCACTGATTATGTAGAATGTTGTTCCAAGGCCAAATGACCTTTTTATACCTTTGCTGAAAATAGTTGTGATTGAATTAGTAGTCCAATTTAATTGGAGAAAAGCAAGTGAATCATTTTATGTCACCCACCTTGAAAGGTGTGTGTGATTGAAGGGCTTTCTTCGTCGCTTTTGAAGCATGTTCCCACCTCTTGACAAATGTGAGTGAGGGATTCTGCTAGAGACATCTGTGCATTTAAAAAAAAAAAATCCACCAATACCGCTGTCCTCTATTTGTTCCAAGAATTTTCTAATTGTGTGTTTGCATGGCCTTCAAATGCAGTCCTATTGCTCCTGCAGCAGCTGCTCATAAACCTCCAGACTCAGAGTTCCCAGCATCCAGGGCAAGGCCCAAGGCATGGTGGTGCTCTGTACTGCTGCTCCACCTCGCACCCTGCATTTTATCGAGATAGCCGGTTTGGCCATCTAGATTTAGTGCCAGGAATGAGGCTGGGACTGTGTACAATTCCAGGGCTGTAGCCTCCTCTCTTCCCTGGTCCCAGCATGTCCCTTTTTTGCCTTCTGAGGACCTGTTGTGACCTCAGGAGAAGGGGCACCCAACATGGTTCTTCCTGCTTCAGCTGCAAGTGGGCAGGGCAAGAGCTCTGCCTTCAGGTCCTGAGTGCCCAGATTGGAGGGCATTCATGCCTGTGCTCTGAAAAATCCTATGGCATCCCAGATGGTGCCGGGAGGCTATAGGATTTATTCCTATTTTCCATTCTATCTTCTATTTTGATATCTTTGACACTGTTGCTTCTAGTGGCTGAGATAGGAAGTTGTGTAGCAATTTCATTTAAAGTCACCAGGCTAAGCCAAAATCCCTTCTGGGGCATGTCTGCTGCTATTGAATTCATTCTCTGAGCAGCAGTCCTCATGAAGGCAAGATGTCAAGAGCTGTGTGCAGGATGGAAATAAGAACAGGCTTAGGAGAACCCTTGCAGAAGTACAACCCAAAAGATCTTAAGGAAGGGTGGAAAACCCTGAGCTGGAGTGCAGAAGGCACTTGAGAGACGGTGGCCATTCTTCCACTCTGGTGAAGGATGGCGTATCTCCATTTCCAGTGTGAATCGAGTATAGAATTCGTCTGTTCATCTCTCAGTTAAATTTGCATATGGGCAGAGGTAATATTTCGGAAGTAAGCGTATTTCATCCAGTTTTAATAACTGATTACTTAAAACACAGAAGAGGTATACAGTTCATGTGTGAGAGAAGGGAGAAGGTTGCTTTCTGCAGTTTTCATAAGGATTTAGAATCCAAATTATCTATACAGCTATCATCTCTCAGTAATATCGTCTGCCCAGTTGGGGGCATTATTTTTAGTAAACCAAGGGTTTTAAATGTATTGATCTGATGAATTAATTGCAGCCCTGTTTATTATGTTTGTTTTTACGGTTATTATAAAAATATTACTTTTCCCTAAGTCAGAAGGGTTTAAGTAGGTTCATCAGAATTATGTCTGCCCTGCTCTCTCCCATTACTCCTACTCTCTGCTTAGGCCATGGATGGGCAACCTCTGGCCTTCCAGTGGTGACTGGACTACAACTCCCATCAGCCCTAGCTAGCACAGCCCATGGTGAGAGAGAATTGGAGCTGCAACAACCCAACAACCCCTGCGGGAGGGCGGTCATATGTTGCCCACCCTGCCTGAAACTCTTTCCTCTTTCAGCTCTCTTCCATCCCTAACGCTTGATTGTCTGGCTGCACTGCTTCTGTTAGGCTGTTAACTCCACTGGTCTCCAGGCTTGGCTTCAATATCTCCACTCAGGCTGTCAGGCTATTGAACTGTTTGGGATGGACCAAAAGGAAGGATGGAGGGAGAGAGCTAATTAATTCTCAGGCTCAGTATTAATTTATGCTTTTGTCTGTCTTCTGTTGGCCATTCATCCAGCCAAGCAACATAACTACCACACCCTCGTCCACACCTGTTCCAACAATTATTTCTAGAAACTTTTCTAACTTTTGATGCCCTACTAAGAACTGGTCCCTCCACCCACCCAACCTTCATTTGCCTAACTCTCCTCTCCTCTCCTCTCCTCTCCTCTCCTCTCCTCTCCTCTCCTCTCCTCTCCTCTCTGTATAACATGGGTGGTCAACTTGTGGCCCTCCAGATGTTTTGGCCACCAGTTCCCATCAGTCCTAGCCACCTTAGTCAGTGTGAAGGGTCATTAGAGTTGTAGGCCACAACCCTGTAGGTGACAAACTGTAGGTCTTCTGGAGAACCACCAGCTGACAGCTCTTGCCCTTTATCTAGCCTTCTCTGCTCTGCTGAAAAAGCTTCTGTTAATATCACAGATGATCCCATATGTCATATCCAACACTTTATTCTTATCCTTATTTATTTCCCTGCTGACATACGAACATAAGAAAAGCCATGCAGTATCAGACCCAAGATCCATCTAGGATGCATTCCAATGGAGCCAAGCTCAGGGAACCAAGGTTCAATTTGGATGCCAGGAAGTACTTCCTGACAGTTAGGACCCCGAGGGTGTGGAATGGGCCTCCACAGGAGGTGGTGGAAGCCCCCTTGGTGGGGGTGCTCAAGGATAGGCTGGACATGCCCACGGTAGGCATGTCATGAGCAGAGCCGGCTGTAGCTGGGGGTCAGACTAGATGGCCCAGGAGGTCCCTTCTGACTCGCTCTGTTTCTGTGTTTCTAGTCTGGTACTCTGTCTACACTGTGGCAAACCAGCTGCCCACAAGATCCCTCCAGCAGGACGGGTGCAAGACCTCTACCTGCGCAAGCTCCTCAGCAACTGGGGTATACAGACATGCTGCCTCTGGTAAAGGAGGTAGCACATAACCAGCAGGGCTAGTAGCCACTGATCGCCTCCTCCCTAATGAATCTGCCCAGTCCACCTTTAAAGCCACCCAGATTGGCAGCCATCACCGCTGCCCATGGCAATGAATTCCATAGTTAAACTATATGCCATGTGAAGAAGTACCTTCTTTTATCTGCCCGAAACTTTCCATCAGTAAGCTTCATGGGACGACCATGACATTTGAATGTTACAGCAGAGGGAGGAAATGGTCTTTCTCTCTGCTTTCTCCAGACCACGCACCTCTATCATGTCTCCCCTTACTTGCCTTTTTTCTAAATTGAACAGTCCCAGTCGTTGTAGCAGCTCTTCATAGGGGAGCTGCTCCAGCCCCCTGATCATTTTTGTTGCCCTTCTCTGTGCTTTTTCCAAACCAATAATGACCTTTGTCAGGTAAGGCAACCAGAACTGAACACAATAGTCCAAGCACAGCTGCACGAAAGATTTGTATAAGGGAAGTAAGATTTTGGCAGTTCTCTTTTCAATTCCTTTCCTAATTAGCCCTAGCATGGAGTTTGCCTTCTCCACAGCAGCTGAACATGGGCCAACATTTACACTGAGTTGTCCACCGCTGCCCCAAGGTCCCTTCCTTGCTGAATCACATCTAGTTCAGACCCCATCAGTGTATACTTGAAATTGTGATTATTTGCCCCAATATGCGTTAATCTACATTTGCTTATATTGCTTTGCCTTTGCCATTTTGATGCCCCCGCTCCCAGCTTGGAGAGATCCCTTTGGTGCTCCTCACAACCCCTTTTAGTTTTAACCACCCTAAAGGGTTTAGTGTCATCAGCAAACCTGGCCACTTCACTACTTCCTCCATAAATGATCTAGAATAGACTGAAACGAATACAGAACCCTGAGGGACTCCACTGGGTCCATTGGGAGAAATTGCCATTTATTCCGACTCTATATCTTCTGTTCTTTAACCAGAAAGTCGTCCGTAAGAAGACTCCTCTTTTTATTCCATAACTGCTTAGTTTGCCACTACATTAATTGCATTCATAAATATTAGCATAGCTACGTGAATCAGTGAATGAACTATCCTACCAATCTGCTTCAGAAGCATTGAACTGGTGCAAAAAATATTTTCCATAAAACTTTCAAATGGTTGTGTTTTTTGAGTTTCCAGTAGATGGCAATCTATCTTTCTGAAATTCTAGTCTGAACTGTGTTGTTTGTGGTTAGATGTAGAAACCTACTTTAGTAGACCTCTTGCCTTAATATATATGCATTTATTTCTTACTCATTTTTCATTTCTCTATGTAAAACAAACAAGCAAATCCACACATTTGTCTGCAAAAACCTTCTCTGGCTCTGCTCTTCCTTTAATGTTTCCATTTATTCTCCGTGTGGCCAGGCTATAAATATTCACCTGGTGTGGTCTTTTAAAAAAAATCTTCTGTACCTTCACATTAGATGCCATTAAATAAAATGTCTTGCCTGGTTTTTGCATTTTTACATGTCCTTTTGCCTTTTTATCATTATTGCTTTGCTGACAGCCTCTGTCCTGGATCAATTTCCCTTGTCTTGGAAAGACCCTTCACTTGAGTGACCCCAGGTGACTCACCACAATGTTATATTCTGAGTAGCGATATAGTACAAGCCTGTTTAATTCTTTTGTGGGCAAACTGAGACAATTTCATGGGCTACCAATGTCTGTTTTTTAAACTTGTTGCATATAGACACATATACATGTAGTGGTGTGTGTGCGACAGAGAGAATGTCTTGGGCTTAATAATTGGTGAGCATATTAAAATTTTGTGGGATCTTTCAACAATATAGCTTGGATGCTGGAGTAGAGCTTTTATTGAATCATTTTGCTAAAAGGAAATTCCAAATGTATCTTTACTTCTGTTAATCTTTGTACTTGATAGAGAAAAAAGGTGAAGGCAGTAAATCTAATGATTTCTTGACCTTGTAGAATGAATCATTGACATTTCACACTTCCTTACATCTTCTCCTCAACTTCTTCAACTCTGGATGAAACTACTTTGCCATCTACCACCTCTTCGATTATTGTCTTGATCTTTCTGCTTTTGTTTGGATCTAAGTAGGAAAACGACAAAAATGCATACAAATGTTTCCTTTCTCAACCAGTGTTCCATTTAGATACACTCAGTCGAAGCAATGTGAGCAAACATTTTCACCTCCTGACATTAAATGCACAATCCCATGGCCATCTAATGTTGACTGGGGGACACTAGGATGCTTTAGCCTCTGAGTTTGGAGGCTTCTGTGCATCTAAAGCAGAGGGCATTAATTGTACCCTGGGAAAGTAAAATTTATCATGACCTCTCAGAAACTGATGGATCTATGATGTGACATGAGTGTGGACAGACAAAGTGTCTAGGTCTCTGGAGGCAGAAAGTAAATCTAAAAGGCAATGAGAACTACTACAGTAGATGGTCTACATATATGCAGGAATGAATAACCCCAAACAAGAATCCAGGACAGTGGAAAGGGAACAAAGGCAAAAGAACAGCTAATAAAAAAGGGAGAATACGTTGTCCTTGACAGAGGATTAAAACCTTGAGAGGTATGCCCCTGTTCTCACCATCCTAAATACCAGCCTTTCCAGATTTTGGGTCCTCAGATATGGTTAGTCCACAGTTCTATCATTCCCCGACCATGAGTCATGGTGTCTGCGGATGGTGGGATTTGTAGCTCAACAACAAGAGAAGACCCATGGTTGGGAAAAGCTTCTTCAAAATAAGTAAACCCATTCTCGGAGAATAGATCCTTTATGTAAACAAGAGAGCGGTATCAGCAGGCTCGGTGTTTACAGGAGTTCAAAAACCACTTAGGAGAGAAAGGCACGCCCTATAGGGAGGAACAGTCCGTGCACACACACCAGTCTCATGCTGACTGAGCATGCTCAGTGGAATGCTGACTGATTGCTGACTGAGGGACTGGAAAACTGGGAGGAGAGGGGCACGGAATGGAGTTTCCTGGAAAGCAACATGCCTAGTTTGCTGGATCCTGAGCAGGAACGTTCTACACTGCAACATTTCGTTGTGGATCCTACTTGTGCAATGGTAATCCCAAATTTTGCTTACCTTGAGTGGAATCCACCGACTTGGTACTCGCCACAGAAAAATTTTCGAACGAGCTGCAAAGAGATCGTAGAAATTTTAGACTTTGCATTGCTTGAATCAGGGACAGCAAAGTGAGCATGGTTTCAGTGCACAGGTAACAGCCATCTGACCAAATGGCAGAGAACAATCATCTGCAACATTCTGGTGCTTCTCCTACCCAAGCTCTCCATCGAGTAGTCGGCGGTACGTTTCAATCTCCATCTCCAGACGGGTCTTGATATCCAGGAGTTGCTGGTATTCTGCATTCTGTCGTTCCATGTCCGCTCGGACCTGGAAAAGCTGAGATTCCACGTTCCCAATTTGAAGCTGCATTTGTCCGAGTTGCGCACAGTAGTTTCCTTCGGTTTCTGCCAGTGTGTCCTCAAGGGATTTTTTCTGTGTTGAAAAAGAGGGGTGGGAGAGACGGTGCAAGGTGGAAGATTACAAAATATGTCAAAATGAAGCAAAAGAAGATGACCTGGTGGCATAACCACTGCTCAGGTGGTCACAACCCGTGCTCTGAATGTTGTACTCCAAAGTTTCCCTCTGAAAATTCGCGGAGGAGAAAATGTTTTGTATGTGATGTTTGGATTGGCCTTAAAATGGCAGAAACGTTAATGGTTGGTTTCAGTGTTCGTCAGGTCTCCACTAGCCCATAGTGAAGCCTTCCGATTGACAAAGAGTCTTTTATAAACTCTTTGCTGTTAGGGATTTCATTTCACGTTGAGTGAGGCAATGGAAAACTGGGAGGAGGGGAGCATGGAATGTGGTTTCCTGGATTTCGTTTCATTTTTGTACTGCCCAGTAGGCGAATCTCCCTGGGTGGTCCACAGCCATTCATAAAATTACAACTTGCAAATACAGATAATGCAATACAACACAACACTCCATATGCAAGTGTAAAGCAGTTTAGAGGGCAGTCCAGGCCAGTCAAGATCTTCATAAGCCTCAGTGGACTTCGGCTATCCTATGCAGAGCAAGAGGGACCTCCCTCCTCCTGCTCCGGCATTTTTGCTAGATGGCCATTTTCAGCATCCACAATCACTCCCGCCAAGTCCAAGTAGCATTCCTATCTCTGAGGTCAGAGCTCTGTGTCTGGCCTTAGATCTGGGAGTCCAGAGCGCGCCGCCCCCTTCCCTGCCCTGGTGATGTCTAGGAGTCACAGAACCACTCCCTTGAACAGCAAAAAACAAATTCAATAGAAGTTTTGAAAGGCAAAGGGCAGCTTCTGTTAGGAAACAGAAAGCTTTTGGTTCTGCTCAGGCTTCCAGTGACAGAGCTGCAGTTGCTCCTCTCCACTTTACCTTGCTTTCCACAGATTCTCTTCTTTTGACTTCCCAGTCTCCTTTGATAGTTATTTTTATTTGATTTTTCAGATTTAACATTTTAAATTGGCCAATCAGGTTGTACAGGTCTTTGCCTGGAGTTTACAGTCTAAACATTTTGACAGCAGGGCCTTATGCCTGTAACCCTTCCACCAGCCTTGTTAGAGAGGCAATTTGCCACCTGCACAGCAGATCACGGATCGCTTCTTCAGATACCAACATGCCTTCAGCCCATTCAGCCACAGGATCCAGTTCACTGCTGAGGCTGGAGCCTGGATGAATCACACTCATCCACATGAGTGTCCTGCTGAAGCCAGTACCTTATTTGGTGTCTTTCTGTTGGGCCAGCCTCTTTCATTCCCACTGAGTCACCTTAACACACATATTTACACGATTCACAAGTAATTGTAAACCTTTGTCCCTCTTCTTGCTAAGCCCCATTGTAGTATTTTAAGGTGATCGATGCAAAATGTAAACATGAAATATACTAAGGAAGCAATTCCTCACTCCATCAGGAGTGGTACTGAGGAGCAACAGGGTGCTGTGGATGTCCTGCTCCATGGGCAGAAGGGGAAGCTCTCAGGTGCTGAAGGACATCTGCAGGAGGAGACACCTCCGGTGCAGAGGTGGAAGGCTCCATTGTCCCTGCCAATTTGATGGCCGCAGCTGCAAGAATGGTTCCAGGAGCATGTTGGAGAAGACCATGGATCCAAAGCTTCCTATGCCTCCACATTCCTCCAACATGCTCAAAGCAGGATCTATGCTATCCCCTGGGGCTGGGATAGTTATTTTCCTTCCCTACCATAGAAGGGAAACAAAGAAAAAACCTCTCTGTGGCAGGATGGAATCCCGCCTCCCCACATTCCATCCCGGATAGTTCGGCAAATCTTGTTAGAGATCCTTTGGATCCACTCATCATACCATGGCAAGTTGAGACTGCAACTCTATTTCCAGGCTTTGCAGGGTTCTTCTCAGGTCTGTGATTTCACTCTTTCCCGACTGAAGCTGCTCGGTATTTGAAGAGATTTCTCTTTTCAGTTCCCCGCTCTGGAACAGCAAAAACCAGAATGAGGGAAGAGCAGGAGGTAGGACAGCTTCACATGCTGTTAATCATTTCATGTGTGCAAGGAATCTCTCTCCACATGCTCACCTTTTCATTGAACCAGGCTTCAGCCTCTTTGCGATGCTGCTCTGCAACGACCTCGTACTGTGCTCTCATGTCATTCAGAAGTTTGGTCAAATCCACCCCTGGTGCAGCATCCATTTCCACACTGACTTGTCCAGTGGCATTGCCTTGCAATCCAAGGAGTTCCTACAAAGACAAAAGAGAAGCAGCGCATATTCAGTGCAACGGTGCCCCAAACCAATAGCCTGCCCTTGTTCTTGAAGGATTCCTTTGAGCCTCCTTTGATTTGGATGCTACCGTAACGGGCATGTCATTTAGGATTTGAGGAACTTTCGTATACCAACACTGAGCAGCTCTTTCTATTTCTTGTGGTGGCCAACTATATCCACTTTGTGTGTGTGTGTTTTGATAAACACAGAACAACTTCCCGCAGCTGGTCCTGTCCAGTTGGGTTGGACTGTAAGGACTGCCCTCTCCAGAGACATTGCTATAGCCCAACACATGCGAGCACAGCAGGTTTGGTGGAACCTGAGTTCCACCGTAGGGTAAAAGTGAAGGGAGGGGGAATGTAAAATAGGGAAAGCAAGCTTTGCATACCTCCTCGTGGTTCTTCTTGAGGTGGGCCAGTTCTTCATTCAGGCCTTCGATTTGCATCTCCAAGTCCGCTCTGGTCAAGGTCAGCTCATCCAGGACTCTGCGCAGACCATTGATGTCGGCCTCAACACTCTGACGAAGAGCCACTTCATTCTCAAACCTAAGAAGAATTCAAATGACAGTGACACACGCGCTGGTAACTTCCCAATTAGATTTCTGTAATGCGCTCTATGTGGGGCTACCCTTGAAGATGGTCCGGATACTTCAATTGGTGCAGAATAGAGCTGCCAGGTTGCTGACAGGGACTGGGCATTGTTCTCATATAACCCCAGTTCTCCATCAGCTTCACTGGCTCCCCATTGAAGTCCAGACCCAATTCAAGGTGTTGGTTATGACCTATAAAGTCCTAAACAGCTTGGGACCTGGATATCTAAAGGCACGCTTGCGCCCATATATGCCCTCCCACCCCTTGAGATCAGCAACAGATGCCCTTCTCCGGGAACCCTCTGTGAATGATATTAGGAGGGTAAGTACCCGGAGGAGGGCCTTCTCTGCGGTGGCACCCCACCTGTGGAATGAGCTCCCCAGAGAGGTCCGCCTGGCACCGTCGTTATTTGTTTATCGGTGCCAGACTAAGACCTTTTTATTTAAAACTTATTTTAATTGCTAAATTATTGTATTTATTAGGATTTTAAAATTAGCTGAGAATGCACCGGGGGGGGGGGTTAAATGTTTTTTTTTTCTTTTAAATTGTTATATTGTTATTGCTTATGTATGTTTTTGTGTATTTTTTGTGAGCCACCCCGAGGCTTTGTTGCGACGGGGGCGGCATAGAAATGTTTTAAATAAATAAACAAATAAATGTGGAGCATTGAAAACATCTGTTCCTGGGAATGCAGCTCTTCTTGTTAAAGATCTGAGAGTAATCTGTAAAGAGTAATCTGTAACCTGATCTGAGTGTAATTCTCTTTTACCTGGTTTTTCTATTTCTGATCTTCACTCATTCACCTTTGTTTTAAACTCTCCCACTCCTTAGCTTTTGCTTGTTTCTCATTTTGCTCACAGTACTTTTCTCCTTTGTATCCTTCAAGTTCTCCATTCCATTCTGCTAATTGAAATGGTTGTGATAAACGCCGTCCATGTTCTTTCTCTTTATCGTTGACCTTAAAGCTTTATATTCTGCATCTTCTGTTTCTTTCTAGGGAGAGCTTGCTTCTTGTCAAATACCGGTTCTCTTCTGTCATCTCTCATTCAAGCCCTTTTCTCTCCTAACAGGAATCTTTTTTGGGGGGAGGGGGTTTGTTCCCAGAGCCCGGATTTCTGAGCACCCCAAGCACAGTCCTCTGTACTTCCCTGCCACCAAAATAATCTGCCCTGGAGGTTTGAACATTGCTCTGAAACAGGCTGAGGGTGGAGTTAGAGGAAGGGGGGGATAAGTGAACATGGTCTCTCCTCTTCCTGTCAGTGGGATCCTCCTCGGGAAGTCACTCATGATTATAAACAGAAGCAACCTTTGTATTTATGAAAGCCTAGCTAGGAACTGAGCCACTGGGTTGTATCCAGGGCTGGCTTTGTATCGATGGGAAGTAGCCCTGCTTGGACAAGGTACAGTGTTCACTAATCTCGCTTCCCCTGCACAGAAAGGGGAAGTCACAGCCCACACAGTTCCAGAGCAGCAGGTTTTCAGGGGGCAAGGAAGGATATGTGAGTCGGTGGGGCAAGGGGCATAAACAGGGTCTGGCCTTACGAAAAGCAGAAGCGCTTCCTGCTAATGGAAAAGCACTGCTGGGTGCAAACGACTGTGGACTCCACCACTGCTCTCTGCGGAAGAAGGGCTACGTGAACAGCGCCGTGAAGGTGGGCTATCATCTGTTCTCTTCACCACACCGTGCTACTTACTTCACCCTGAAATCGTCAGCTGCCAGTCTTGCATTGTCAATCTGCAGAATTAGCCTGGCGTTTTCAATTGTTGCATTGATGATCTGGAAAAGAAGGAGACTGTTTTTGGAGAACACAGCACTACTCTGTGATCACTGCTGCTTCACTGCTGCTTCCTGGGCTGAGCCATCCTAAGGCCTCTGGACAGTGTGTTGACTCTGACTTCTGAGCTGGGGATCCACACCTGGAGTGGTCTGCAGCTCGCAGGAAAAGGACCATCCAACTGCATCTCTGATGCTTTAGGAGTAGGAGAGGGAAGGGGAGAGGCTGGTGCCACCAAAATACAATGTATCCTGGCAGCGCCTCAGCCTCCTGTCTGCCTCCTCAAAAATGCAGCCGATAAACAGTCAAAATTGACTGTTCAAAATCGACCCCTTTATAGAATGGGGGGGGGGGGGGCGTGTATGGAAGCCACTATCACCTCCGCACTGCCCCATTCTGTATAGGACACCCATAATCCTTCAGGTATGGCAGGTTATGATCACAGGCAGCCCCACTGGATTGTACCTAATATTTCTAAACTAAATACATGCAAATTAAATCATTCTTCTTTTTAGTTTGCAAAAGAACACTCAACAGCTGCCTCAGAAATGTTGAGGCTGCCCTCACATACCACTCTTCCAGGTGTAAGTACCACTGAATGCAATGAAGCTGAGTAGACATCTAAAAGCACATACGCTTGGAGTAGACATGCACTCTGAATCCCCCTTGTTCTTTTTGGAATAGTATCCTCTTCTCCAGTGATCAATGGAAGTCTGCTATATTGATACAGGGATGTTGTTAGAAGAGCAGATTCCAGTTTCATCTCTGGGTTGTACCACGAGCCGGCACCTACCTTCATGGGGTGCTGCTAACTACACCAAAAGTTAAGCTAAACAGCAGATTTCTGTTTTGACTGAATTTTCAGAAGGTGTTGGTGGAGAGCTGTTTCTTTCAGTTAACCAAAGTCACCCCAGTATAGTCAAGCAGGAAAAAAGTCCCCTTTTTACAAATGTGAAAGAAGTTTACTGCCCGGTCTGATGCATGTGTCTCAGAAGTAAAGCCAGCATTGTTGATTTGAATTTATTCCCAAATCAATGTTTGCTGGATTGCAGCTTAGATAAAATTAAGCAGATTGCAAGGTGCAATCCTATGACAGAAAAGGTCCATGCATAGGATTCTGCTCTTCATTTCTGCTTTTCTCTTCTTTTTTTCTTCCTGGTGAAAGGCCAAAATTCCCATTTTGTGAATAAGACTGAGTGCAGTGAGTCCAAGCTCAGGTTAGACCTGAGTCCGTCCTGAGATGCTAGCAATGGGATGGTCTATAAAAGCTTGAAATGAGTAAGTAAGTAAGTACGTAAGTAATCCAGGCCTCTCAGACACTACTCCAACTCTGTCTATCATATCTGACTTTTCTTGAGACCAACAGGATAGCTCATCTAATTTCTTCTTATCAAGGTGATCCATGTCCATGACCCCCATGAACCATAGTGTTGCAAAATATCAATTATTATCAAGACCTTGAGAATAATTCAACTGGCAAAGAAGTACGGTGACCCTGTGAGCATTTACCTTGTTCCTGAGATCTTCAATCACAGGGTAGTATTTACTGTAATCTCGGCCAATCCCTGGGCCGCCAGCCCCTGGGCCATTTTTCTCATACCATTCCCGGATCTTGCTTTCCAGCTCAGTATTGGCTTCCTCCAGAGATCGCACCTTGTCCAGGTAGGCAGCCAGGCGATCATTCAGATTCTGCATGGTCTCCTTTTCAGTGCCTGCCAAAAGGCTGCCTTCTCCACTCCCGCGAAAGCTGCTCCCCAAGCCGCCCCCCAAGCCCCCTCCCAAGCCCCCTCCCAAGCCTCCACCATATCCACTGCCTAACCCTCCGCCATATCCGCTGCCTAACCCTCCGCCCAAGCCCCCTCCCAAGCCTCCGCCATATCCTCCGCCATAACCGCTGCCTAACCCTCCACCATATCCGCTGCCTAACCCTCCGCCATATCCACTGCCTAACCCTCCGCCATATCCGCCACCACCAAAGCCGAGCAGGGACCCACCACCAAATCCTCCCCCCAAGCTTCCTACACTATTGGAGCTGGAGAGCCTAACAGAACCTCCGCCATATGCACTCCGGGAAGAGAACTGGCGGGGTCCGGCAGACATGCGAAAGGAGAGAGCCATGGTGCATCCAAAGGATCTCGCTCTGAACCTGCTCTGGGGATGAGGTGAAACAGAACAGCTTGCTCATAGCCACTGGCCTTATATGCAAGGCAAAGGGAGTGCCCGATTGTTAAGTCCACACCTCCTAAGGCAACATACTTTCATCTTTTTGCCTGTTCAGTGATCTCCCAAACAAACTGGAGGATGTGTGCAAAAAGCCCCAAGTTTGTCTACCAATGTGGAAATTCAGTGCCCTCCTGGTATTTGTTCTGCTAACTGGGTGGAATGGGTGGAGCAGAGATAAGTGGAGGTAATTCATCTGCTGTGCTGAGAAAGTTATATAATTTTATTTATTAACCTACCTCCCCATTGGATTAGAACATTAGTTAGTACCATTTCTTTAGCATACTTCATTTTTTAAACCTTCCTTTATCTCATGGACTTTCCCCTTATTGTTTAGATTGTGAAAAAAAACTATTTCCCCATTTTTCCTGCTTCTCAGCTTGGATGGTATTGCTTGTATATATCAGAGAGAGAGAGAGAGAGAGAGAGAGATCAAGTGGGACTTTCAACAAAATCTTGCAGTAGAGATGCTTCTGCTCAAGATTGTAGCCAGCAATGTCCTTTTCCAGGAGCCTCCATTTTGCATCAGCCTGGTTTCCCATGTGCCAGCTCCAGCAGTGAGCTTTACATGGCTACAGAACTCTGTTTCATTGGGTTACTTTTAGGGTGGTGGGTTTAAAATATTTTTGGGAGGTCTCTAACAAACCATGGGGGGTTTCCCCTGGCCAGCTGTGCATGCTGGGCTGTATTGGTGATTTAAGGCTAGGCACTCAGCCCTGAACATCCACAATTGAGGTAATGATACATAGGATACACACAATGCATAAATGCAGGATACTAAAGCTTTGGCTTATACTGAAAATAAACCCAAAGTTGAAATTACACCAACAATGCAGGGTATGTCTTGCTGCATCCGGGCTGGTTCTGACAAAACATCATCCTTCATAGCTCTTTCCAAGCACGGCCTATATGGAAAATCTATTTTGATTAAGGGTACACATAATCCTGTGCAGTGCAAATAAAAGAGCAGGTTTGCTCAACAAAGGAGCAGTATCCGTGCAGAGCCTTGTGGCTACACTCCAAAGAAGACAATGGCCAACATTCCTCCAACAGCAGGCCATCATGCCGCAAATGGCAGGGCAAAGCCTGAGGCTTCCAGGCACAGTTCTCTAACACGGCATGGATGTTCATTGCCAAAGCTCCCTATATCTTGTATCCCATAAGCGCCCCCCTTCCCCTCACAATGGTGCTAGGCCACATTATCTGAAGCCCAGTGGAATATCCTTCACTTTCTGCCATTTGCTCTCTTGACTTGAAGGCTAAGCTAGATAGAAATGCCATTCGTGTGACCAGTGCCCACCCGCCCCTCCATAGGGCACCAGGCTGGGACCATCCCATGCAGGGAAGAGGGTTCTAGTCAAACAAGCTACTGGTTTTTGCAAAAGGGACACCCCCAGCCCCATGGCTAATACAGCTTTGGGAAGTGGACTTTTTGACTGGGACTTCAATGAGGAAAAGGAGTCATAAAGAGGATAAAGATGATGATGGGCCCAGATCTGGTCACAGACACTCCACAGTCTTTATCCAGGGGAAAGAAACCCAGCGTGTGAAATACAACCAGGCCTTTCATGCCCCAGTCCACTGGGCCCTGCTTGCTTTAACTGAAGCTGCATTTCCTGGTGGGAATGCCAGTTCCCTGCTGGAGAGGGAGGTTGTTGGGGCAAACACAGAAAATTTGTAAAACACTGTGCAAGCTTAATCATCAATCTATCAAGCTAATGAAAATACAAGGGGCTGTAGACATTTTGGCTGTAAAGCCAGGGTGTGCAAAAGTGCAGGCAGGAAGTTGTTTGCTCAGACAACAAAGCAGCAAATAATGTACATAGTTAGCTTGGTGGACATTACTTCACCCAAACATGATGCTATTTCTATAAAGTTCTGCTGGAGTGAGACATCTACACTGCTTTGTATTTGGAACAAAGACCCAGAGAATAAATGCTTCATTGTCCTTATTAGCTGAAGCAGCACAGACCCAGTCTGGGTGTTCAACTGTAATGGCTACAGCAAATAGATCTGCATCTATTGGTTTTGAAAGGACATCATCCAGAGTTTATCACTGCTAATGGAGCCAAGCCCTGCAGGTGAGGGGTGTGGTTTAAACTGGCATGGATTTCCTATGAGAGAAATGGGACTGGTACAGGGAGGAGAAGAATCTGAAATCGCCCTCCCAGGCATTTTCCAGAGACATCAATGGCGTCTTGAGGCAAGGGGAGTTCTTCAGAAGATCGCTGTGTGGAGTTGTATGCTTGTTTTCTTGTGGGAAAACATGCTTCGTGTGTTGAAGGGAAGCCACATTAGCTGAAGGGAATATGCATTAGCTGATAGGCAAAATTGGATTACTCCCACCTGAAAAAACAGTTGTTTTTGGGACCTATTGTGCTTATCCTGGAAATTCAGCTCGAGTTGAAGCAGTAACATCTAGTCTAACTCAGCACAGGACATCCAGAGCTAGAACAGTCTGAAGTGATGGCCTCTGCCTGAAGTCCTCCAGCTTGGGATGTACCAAACCAGGGAAATTTGTTTGAGCATGATGGATTTCCTGCCCACGTTCAAGATGAAGTTAGGAAGTGGGCCAAGTTTTCTTTTTAGTGGACATTTCTCTCTAAGAGGGGTCATTCTTTGTACATTCTTTTAACTATCTGCACTCATAAGCACCCCAAACCCATGTTGCTCAAGTGTGATTTGTGCAAAATCAGCTGATTGGTGCAAATTGTGCTAGCAAATGCGGTTTTGGGGTGCTTTTGGTGCAAATTTCCTTAACAGTTAAAAACGCACGAGTAGCGGTCCATCTGAAAGACAGAAGTCTGCAAACGGGCTTGACTCACATTGCAGTGAGTTGGCACCAATCCAGGACAAACTGGAAACCCAGTGGATTCCCACTGCCTTTATATGCGCCACACTGTCTCCCGTGTGGCGGAAGGAATTAGAAGAAGATGAAGCACCACACCCACATCATCACTGGAACGAGTCAAAGTGCCCACGATGTGCTTCCTATTAATGGAAGGAGGCCCATCCAAAAGTTTGTTGTTCCCAGTATGATGCTGCTTGCTCCAAACAGCTCAAAGCAATAATTGAAGCTGGTTGTGTTGCTGTGACTGGGGAATCCGGGTGATCTATTCCTCTGGGCCCAGTCAATTTGCTAGTAGACACTCGGTAAGCTAGACGAGGGCAGGAAAAAGTTAAAGCCCCCAAGGGCAGCTCACCTCGCCTCCTTTGATGGAGTTTATCTGAGAAACTTGGATAGAGAGCGATGCAGCGGTGCACTGGGATCCCTTGTGATTGATTGCTCACGCAGCTCCATTGGGGAAACTGGGGGTGGGAAAGCTCTTGTCTGTGGACCAAAGATAGCTTGCAGCTGGATCATTGCAAGGCCTTCCACTGCCTTCCCTGCTGTTCAGCTGTTTTCCAGCTCTCATCTGAGCAACCTGTGCATGACTGCAGTGAAGATGAAGCTCTGGTGCTTAGGGACGCCCTCTGGAAATCAGTGGGAACAGAATGCTGAACGAGATAGATCTGTAGTGTGATCCAGGACAGCTGTTTATTTCATGTCATCTTCTTGTCTTGTGGGGAACACAAGGCAACTTGCATAGCCTTCCGCTCCATTTGATCCTCACATCAAGCACCCTGTGAGGTAGGTTGTGCCTGCCCGAAGGCAGAGGGCAGGAAGGGAGAGACGAGGGTAGGAAGAGATGAATGTGGGCAAATCCGGTTGTCTATTCTGAAATGAGGTCGTAGCCAGGAATGAAAATTAAAGGATTAATTCAAAGGACTTCTGGAAGAGGCGGGCTTTGAGGAGAGATATATAGAAAGGAGAAAGGTGGCACCACCTGTATGTTTAACAAGGGAGTTCCATGCACAAGAGAGCTAAGAATGGACCGGGAATGGCACAGGTATCTGAGAGTGGGATACAGATGACTAAGTTCTGTGTCAGTCGGGATGTCATTGATGCAGGGATAGGCAAACTGGGCCTGAGCATCCTTGGGGGGTGGGCAGTGTAAACTTGTGAGATGGCCTCCCTCCCCCAGACATACCACTTCATGCACACCATGTCCCTTAAAGTATCTAATAAGATATGGCCCTCTGTGTGTGTGTGTGTGTGTGTGTGTGTGTGTGTGTGTGTGTGTGTGTATGCATGTACTAGGTATTTATTCACATCTTTCAGGGTAGGCATCTTATGGCCCTCTAGATGCTCTGGATTACAGCTTCCATCAGCCCTAACCAGAATTGCCTGGCCCTGACATCTATTGTGGGGGTGTGAATCCTGCCAGCAGCATTGGCTCTCACTGTCCCAGGGACCAATGACCCTGAGGATGGTGATGCTTTGCCCCTCCTACTGGTTGCTCCCTCCACCTGACCCCCCACCCACAAAGCACACACATCGCACTCTCTCTTTCAAACCACAAATCCTGGTTTCACCACACGAGTGTACTCTGACCTTGAGAAGGGCTGTCTTTCAGGAACATTGCTTGCTCTATCCCAGCTCTGATTTTGACCGTCTCTGTAGTATCTGGGCAACAGCTACATGCATGCCCCCACTGGAGAAACCCTCCTCAGGGGAAGGGGCAGAGCTCCTAAAAACCAGAAGCACTTCAGAGCATCTGTTGCTGAGGGACTGGGAAGAGTCCAGGCCCTCTGGGGAGACGGCTGTGCCCCCCAGACAGAGGCAGAGCAACCTGCTATCTCCCAGGAGAAATGGACGGCAGTTCAAGTGGCAGGCCAGTCAGCCTTGTCCGAGAATGAGTGCTCGCTTGTGAAGGACTCCTCCGGAGAAAGCACCCCATGGCCAGAGAGCTGGAGTGTACTAAAGCTTAGCCCAGACAAGCATTTGGTTGGATTAGTTCTACTTCTAAAGCAGAAGGATTTTTGTTCTGTGTGTGCACAGCTAGTTAGCATAAAAG